GGCTGCACGTTCCTGTGGCATGCTGGCGCCTACGCGGCCTGCATGCATGCGCAAATGGGGCTTCTAGTGCCCGCACAGCAGCACTACCGCGAGTGGGAGAGGCTGGTGGCCAAGAGGCCACGGCCCGATACCGGGCCGCGGACCATAGGTTGGGGACCCCTGCCTTAAAGGACAATGTGCAGTTTGAATAATGATTCAGAGAAGCTATTGGAAAATCTGCCCTATCCAGAGAACTTTGGTTATCTTGAGGCCTTGCTCAAAGTACTGCAGCCTCTCCACCTTCAGGATTGTGGATAGGGATTTTAAAAAATGAGAGATATACGTGCATAGATGCACATTCATTTACACTCATTGACATAATGTACAAATGTGTTTGAGAGAGATAGAAATCTATTGGTACTTGCAAGAGGTTATATAATTCAGATGAATTCAGATTTTGAGTATATTGATGGTACAAAGCAATTTGTGCTGGAAATGTTAAGCTATCAGTTGCAATCTAATACCAAGAGCTTTATGAGATTTCTATATTTACTCAAAATCTGACTGTCTAGGAAAAATATTAGAAGCAGCCATATAATATAATCCTATCATGAACTAATTAGGCTGCAGTAATTGACACTCTGTAGCTTTAAAGCTTGTAAGAAAGATTTTTATTCTCTTTATAGTGAATTCTGGAACTTGGCAATTTCTTTTAGACCTATGATAATAAAGAAAGTAGCATTGTTCTATTTATATTTATCCATATTTTTTACAGGCTGCAACAAAGAAGCAGAAATACGAAAAGATTAGTGAAAAGAAGATGTCTACTCCTGTTGAAGTTTTGTGTAAGGTACAAACTGTTTTTTAAAAAAATTCTTTGATAATGAATCATATTTTATTTTGTAAATAAGCCAATGATTTTTGGGAGGTATAGGGCTCTGTTCTGGGCCCAGTGCTTTTCAACATCTTCATCAATGATTTGGATGAGGGGATGGGGAAGTCATATTTGCAGATGACACCAAGCTGGCAGGAATAGCCAACAGTCCAGAAGACAGGCTTAAGATACAGAAGGATCTGGACAGACTTGAACATTGGGCGCTATCTAACAAAATGAAATTCAATGGTGAAAAAAGTAAAGTTCTACATTTAAGCAAGAAAAACCAAATGCACAGGTACAGTATAGGGGGTACCTTGCTCAATAGTAGTAACTGTGAGAGGGATCTCGGAGTTCTAGTGGACAATCACTTAAATATGAGCCAGCAATGTGCTGCAGCTGCCAAAAAAGCCAACACAGTGCTAGTCTGCATTAACAGGGATAGAATCAAGATCACGTAAGGCAGACATGTCAAACTCGCGACGTCGTGTGACGTTGCACAACATATCAGGAGGGTTTTGCCATTGTCGGCAATTGGGTGGGCGCGGCTTCTGGATGACGCGTCCGGCCCGCGGGCCGGCACTTTGATACCCCTGACGTAAGGTGTTAATACCACTTTATAATGCCTTGGTAAGGTCACACTTGTAATACTGCATCCAGTTTTGGTCACCGTGATATAAAAAAAATGTTGAAAATCTAGAAAGAGTATAGAGAAGAGCAACAATGATGATTAGGGGACTGGAAGCTAAAACATATAAAGAACGGTTGCTGGAATTGGGTATGTCTAGTTTAATGAAGAGAAGAACTAGGGGGGAACATGATAGCAGTGTTCCAATATCTCCAGGGTTGCCACAAAGAAGAGGGAATCAAGCTATTTTCCAAAGCGCCTGAAGGCAGGACAAGAAGCAACGGATGGAAACTGATCAAGGAGAGAAGCAACCTAGAACTAAGGAGAAATTTCCTGACAGTTAGAATAATTAACCAGTGGAACAACCTGCCTCCAGAAGCGGTGAATGTTCCAACACTGGAAGTTTTCAAGACGAGACTGGACAACCATTTGTCTGAAATGGTATAGGGTTTCCTGCCTAAGCAGGGGGTTGGAGTGGATGATCTCCCTTCCAACTGTATTATTATTATTATTATTATTATTATTATTATTATTATTATTATTAATCTATCTTTAGTTTTAGTATCATTTTTTTCCTTTTTCTGTTACTTTCCATTTTCTTAAAACAGAATGCTATAGAACTAAATTCTAGATATAAAAATTGTGGGAAATCTGCCTCTAACTCTTGCTTGGATTTCTTTTGTTCACAGGGATTTCCTGCAGAATTTGCAATGTACCTGAACTACTGCCGTGGCCTGCGCTTTGAAGAAGCTCCTGATTATATGTATCTGAGGCAGCTATTCCGTATCCTTTTCAGGTTGGTCTTGTGGGATACTTTGTGAATATTTGAAGAGAACAGTTTTAACAACAATTTATCATTCACATGGTTAGCTTGGCTAGATAACACTCTGTTGTTCCAGAAGTTGGACTGAAAATATATGTAAAAGAAATTTGGATATGCTACAAATAGACTTCATTGGGAAGAGGTTCTTTCCTGATATTGTATCAAAATGATTTGTGTCTGGGTAGCCCACCTCTCATTGCATTGTGATGTCTGTTTTGTGATTGGCTATATTGGTCAGCAAGCTGTACTCTGTAACAACCATTTTAGGAAGTATTTTCTTTGGTCCACAAAGGTTGGTTATATCATAATTTAGTCAATTCAACATAAACAGTACTTGAAATTAATACCGTGCTGTAACTGTTAGTGAATCTATTTTTTTGCAGTGCTTGAATTTAGCTCAAAATTAACGTTAACCGCAGAGGAGGTTAAAGTGAGTGATCAAGATCACAATAGTCTTACGTGGTCATTTGCAGAATTGCAGAAGTTTATCCACACTCTTAGTGCACTTAGTGCAGGGTTCAACTAAAAAAAAGGAGAAGTGGGGATGAAGATCAATATTTCCCTTTCCCCTATTAATCGGTTTGAAGGGCTTTACACTTTACGTATGGGACTCTTTCAACTTGAGCCAAAGCTTCTGTACTTCTAAATAATTACCAGAGGACTTTGAAAGTTGCTGCAAGCAGATTTTAATTATTAACCACAGCACTGCATAATGTTCAATGTTTTACAAAATGTCTCATTTTGAATGCCAGTGAAACCTGCTTATTCAACAGCAGTTCAAGTATTGTATTTTAGTGGTGGTTTTCTTACTTTTTAAATTTTACCCTCTGTAGGACCCTGAATCATCAATACGACTACACATTTGACTGGACAATGTTAAAGCAGAAAGCCGCACAGCAGGCAGCCTCTTCCAGTGGGCAGGGGCAGCAAACCCAAACCCCCACAGGCAAGCAAACTGACAAATCCAAGAATAACCTGAAAGGTTAGTAGCCAAGAACCAAGTGACGTTACAGACCAAAAATGATAAACACTAATTTGGATCCCGCTGGTGATACGTGTTAGCTCAAGGAGGTCATTACAAACACTTATTTGGCTATTTAGTATTTAAAGAACGGACGTCCTTGGAAGATTTGACTACTAACTTTAAACCAAGTGTCCTTGTTTTCATATCATTTCTTTGGGTATGTTGGGTCATTTTAACCACTGCATCTTCTGCTCCCTCATTAACCCCCTCTTCAAAATAAGCTGGCTTGGTGTTGGGAACATAGTATGATCCAAAAATCTGGACCTAACATTTTAAGGAAGAAATTTTCTATTACTTTTTGCATTGGGCCGGTTTAGAGGCGGCTTTGGTATGGGTTTCTTTGGAAGCAACCCCCCCCCCCCGAGGTAAATGTTTTCTTTGAATATATTCTTCCCCCCGCCCCATATAAACGACATCAATTTTATTATTTCGATATTAATGTACTATTGTGAGCCACAGACAATCTTAGGAGGCAGCATGTACATTATTATATAATTAAAAATTAGGGTACTTCTTAAAAAAAATAGGACATAGCTTCAGCATGATGATAGTCTGTATTCTCTGAATATTGTAACTAACAGTACATCAGGGAGACAGGAGTCCTCATGTTCGTGCACAAACATAGTCAAACCTTTCACCCCTCTCCCTCAGTAAAATACAAGAAAGGCAGTGATCAGAGGATTTAGGAGGGTGGGTTAAATTTAGACAGAATACATCAAATATATGTATATACAGTATAAGGGTTAGGGGAGAGAAATGGAAAGTAAACAAATTCAACTGAAATTACCCCCACGTTCTGGTGGGGGGGGGAGAGATCTGTTTCTAATTTTAATTATAGCTCTGTTTGAGATTTATTGACAAAATAATAAAAGAAAGAACTTTCTATGGCAGCAGGCAGCAAATGGATCACATTTGGGAATATGTTAATTATGTTTCTATATCTGTAAATAAGATGGGCAAGCACACAAAATGCAAACAATGTAACCAAAGAAATGCAAGCCCTGAATCCAAATGAAATGCCCCGAAGCTAGATCCTCTGAAAATAACTGAAAGCAAAACGAGTCAAGTCTACACATGCAAGATCTTCAGGTCAGTAAATACTATTGTCATAATACTTTTCTCTGTTTTGTGGTTGGCTTAAATTTTTGAATTATGTATAAATAAAACCAATCAGTATTTCCATTTTTATTTAATTGAAATAAAAAGATACATATTCCTTTTATAAGGACACATTATTAGTGTATGTAACAAAGAATATTATTAAAAGAGCACAGTACTAATGATACTTTTTTTTTATTTAGGAGAATCTATACAGGACTCTGATAACTGACTACACACACCATTTTCAATCATATCATCAGTGCCTACCATTTTAGAATTACCTGATTAATAATGTTTCAATTACATAAATTATGTCAAGAAAAGAAAAAAAGACGTTTAGCTGGAAAAAGAAGAATAAAAGTCTACTATCCACAAATAGGCATAGATAAATTTATGATAATAGATTATAGCAAGTGTTTTTTTTAATGCAGCAAAGTCTCTTTTTCTTACGGATGAGAACATGCCGTTGATACAATATAATCTCTTTGGCAGGATACAGTCTATCAGAGCAAAACAAAGATCATAAGTAAATTATTGGATAAAATGTATAAGAAGAAAATAGAAAAGTATGCAAATAATTTAGAAGGAACCATTTTTGGTTGAACTATGTGATCATATTCACAACAATCCAATCTTATATATTTTTGAATCAACAGAAAAAGGATTGTTTCCTTACTGAAATTATTGAGACATCAGTAAATGTGTATTTTATTGAATGCTTGCAAGCATTCCAAACTAAAAATATTTTTATTAAAAGGCTAATATGATGCAATGATATCAGGATGAGAAGAGATACAGAAATCAAGAAAACCAAAACCAATAAAATACCACTACAGTGTGTAGTGGAATATCCTTCAAGCTGTTCCAGAAGTAAGGGTAATAATGCTGAAATTGCAAAACATATCTACTATACAATTATAATTTGGCAACAGCTGTTCTGCAAGCAAGAGGACTTGATTCTACCACAAGCGGTTCAATAATTCTAATTAGTAAATATTGAGCAGTATACAAGTGGTGTCCTAATGCCTCCTGAACAAAAGTAAGGAAAGTAGATTGAAAATTTGTAGCCAATTTTTTTAAAAGATGAAGCTAAAACAAACATACAAATGTGCAGTCTCTCTTGAGCCTATTCCCATAGCTCTTTGAACTAAGTGCAAGGAAATTGTTGTTTTGTTGAAGTGTGAAAGGAATTGACAAGATTTTAAATTAAAATTTCCACTGACAGGGTTAAATGCAGACATTAACATGAAGTATTTCCAGCTCATTCTCTTGTCATTATTTTCAGTATTCAATATAGGGGATTATGACGGGGATAGCCAGCAATAACCCTTCAAAATATACAATTATACTTAATTTCATGCCTAGTCGGACCTATTTAAGGAACATTTTTTCTTTAAAAGTTTTAAAAGCAATATGCCTGCATTTGATTTCAGACTACTAAAATGATAATCTAGTTATCTAATAATAGTGTCCTCTTTCTCTGAACTCTTAAAGAAAAGTCTTTTCTTTCTTTGCATTCATTCTAAATTCAGAAGTAATTTGGGATTTGAAAAGAGGAAAAGTTTTTCCCCAGTTTACGAATCAAAGTTGAAGAATATGTTTTCACTTGGTTGAAATTTCCTATTCTACTTTTTTTAAAGCAGCATTTTATGTGTATAGCTAACTGTTCAGAGATGTGTTACTTAAATATTTGAATTTATTGAATAAAACAAGTTAATTGATCTCACCTAAGTTGTAAGTAATAGTGGTAGCAGATATTCTCCTAGTAGATTACGACAAAAAAATCCTCAGTTGCCATGAATTAATCAAGAAACCTCTATCTTATAGGAGTGTGCATGAAATGGGGAAAGAGAGTGCTTAATTGTTAATGGGATAGAATCATATGGATAGAGGTGAAGAGAAGGAAGAAATGTGTTTCCACCAGTGGAGTTGCAAACGGAAGGGGATCATGTAGGGCAGGGGTGTCAAACTGCCTGCCCGCAGGCCGGTTTCATTATACTGAAGCCGCACCCACCCCATTGCCGACAATGCAAAAAGAGTCGCGTCACGTGACGTGGCGAGTTTGACACCCATGATGTAGGGGAAGAAGATTATATTGGAGCAAGAAGACACAGACTGATTGAGATCATGTTAGGCAGAAGAAAGTGTTAACGGTACATAAAATGAGTATTACAATATTTATATCTTGAGGAGGGAGTTCATAGTAGAATAGGTAAAAGTGCATGTAGTCCTTGATTTATGACCACAATTGAGCTTGGAATTTTGGTCATAAGTCACTGCAGTCATTAAGCATGGCACTCTCTGAGCTCTTATCATTGTACTGCCTCAGGGAATGCAGGAGGTCCAGTGTCCCCCCCCCATGCAAGACTGAAAGCATTGATTGGCTAGGCCCACCACAGTGTGGATCCTCCCCCTGTACCACCCCCTCTGAGTCCATTTCTCTCTCACCTCACTTCATTCTGTACATGGGTCCTATTCTCATGATTCAGAAGGTTCATTCTCCAAATTGTGCAATTTGGAGAAGGAGTCTTCCAAGCCAGAGGTCCCCAACTTTTTGGGCACCAGGGACTGGTTCCGTGGAGAGAGGTTTTTCCGTGGACTGGAAGGGGTGTGGTTTTGTGCGCTGCCTGCATCCCGTGGATGGGGCTTCGCTTGTTTATGTGGACCAGTTGCTGGCATGCTGCGGCCCGCATGCTGCGGTACTGGTCCACAGGCTGGGGGCTGGGGACCCCTGTTCCAAGCCATCCTAAGCATGATAGCGTTCACTAGTGTTTTCTCTTCCAAAGAGGGAAATGCTAGTGAGGCTGGCGTTATGAAAGACTCTGACCCTCAGCATTTTGAGACTTATATTAAGTTATATATTATACAACTCAAACTGTATCAATCCATCTTTTATACATCCCAGTTCATACTGGGGTTTTTTTTAATGCCATTTTTGGTTTGTTTTGGTGAACAAAATGCCAGTAATGCACCAGAAAATATGGGTGTTTCAGTAGATTGTGTTGCTTGATATCTATATGTTAAAAGGAAGGACAAATTATATTTCTTCTTGTTTAATGTTATGCACACATCTAGACTTTTGTTATTGCAGAGGCACAAAGAAAACCCCATTGGAATTTTGAACTAGGGCAGATTAATATGACAGTACAATATAAAGGAATTCTGATATTAGGAATAATAGAACAGAGTTATATTAAAAGCTTTCTAAATACGAAGCATTAATTTACAAATGCTACTTCAATGGGTAATTCAGGTTTTTTGCTCATTTAGAAATTGTTCATCCAAGGATCAGAAATCAAGTGGGAGGCGAAAAAAGCTGTACACTATATGAATGAGAATTGCTAACTAAAAATGTTGGAACAACACTGTAATATTATAGTCCACTTGAAATAGTTAATTTTAAAGCCTTAATTTTTTTATAGTATCTCTATACATATGGTATACCTGGTATACAGGCAGTCCTCAAGTTACAACCACAATTGAGCCCTAAATCACGCGATCATGGTAATGCTGCAATGGTTGTAAGGGTGAAAAATAAGTCACTTTTTTCAGTGGCGTTGTAACTTTGAACAGTCACTAAATGAACTGTTGTAAATTGAAGACTACCTGTAGTTGATTGAATGCAGATTTACCTATTAAATAAACTACGCATCCAGAAAAACTCCAAAGACTGAAGTCCGATAACTAATGAAAGTTAATTTTAGTTGCCAATCTGCAAAATATCACTTTTTTTTTAGAAAACTGCATTCAAATGGAAATTGATATGAACATAGTTAGAATAATCGAGATGTTAACTTTATTCTGATGTGAGTATTTTGTAAGGCATTACCAGTTGTAGCATTATAATTATGCATACCTTTTCAGACTTGTGCATTCTGTACTGCTTTGTGACTTGGCTTTAAACACCTTGATTATTTATCTGCTATAGGGAATGGTTAAGTAAGACTTTTATCACCCTTTATTGAACTTGCAGCTAATAATCCTCATCACAGGATTCTTTTCTCTAAAACACCAGTGCATTAGGTATCTACTAGATGCAGAGGCATGTATAGTTTTGGAGAAGGATGTAATTGATTTTTTTTATTTTTCTAGTATTCATTTTGGCTCAGTACACAATGTAGCTGCCTGAGTGTAGCTGGGCAAGATGGTCATGGAAATCTATCCAGACCTGATTTTCCAAATATGGTTTTTTTTTCCCCTGGGACATTGCTATCCTAGATACAGTGCTTATGTTTATTTTTTTCTATCTGTGATAACCAGCTTAAGTTATTGGAAAATGTCTAGCTTATATCTGTGTTTGTGGGTAGAGAATCCTGGGCTGGTATGAAGTCTCTATTACAAATACTTCTCAGTCGATGTGATCAGTTGGGTTGGATGGGCATGGTGCTTAAAAGTTTACTCTGAGGCCACTCATTATTTTCTCTTTGTCTTTTTTATACTTTTTCTTTTTTTAAAAAAAGTCTCCCAAAGTCGACCTCTAAATTGTACAGATAAAATTAAATTAAATCCTCCAGTTATAAAGAGGATTCTACTTGAGGTAAGAGCTGATAAAAATACCTTTTCTTAAGAGACCAGGACTCAACAGAAAAAGACTAGAGACAGTCAGGTAACTTATTTCAGCACAAGTCTGAAAAAAACAAGCTTCTTCCTTGTCTTTTTCAAAGCCTTCACAGTCCTGATATGCATTATAAAGCAGAACATTCTTTAAAAATCACTCTTAAAAGTATCATCTAACATTTCTTTATTAAACACTTTTTGCCAGGCCAGTCAATAAACGTTCAGTTTAATAGACACAGGGAAGAAGAGATGTCAGTTTTAGTTGAATGTCTGTTCGTGTTACATAGAAAAGGATAACTATACCATTTTGAAAGGATGGAAACAAATTGTAATGTATTTTTCAGACATATTCATCCAAGGCAACATTGTAGAGTGGAAGATATAAATATAATGACTTGCTCCCATAATTCCAGTGAAAGGTCCGAAGATACTTTCATCCATGCCTGCTGCTTTAGCCATTGAGGTTGCAACTCTTTAACAAAAGATACTGCAACCATTTTACACCATAATCTGGAAGCAAAAGTAACCTTTTTCTCCATGTAATTTTCTTAACCTTTCCTACCTTTCCATTTCTTTCTTGAACCGCATTATTCATGATTTTAAGATTTCTCCTTCAATAGAAGAAATGAAAGATTTTCTGTAATAATCACAGCAGTGCAGTCCAAATGTTGATTGGAGGCTTTTGGGTGGAAAGTAACAAATTATACACTTGCAGAGAATGTAGTTACATATTACTCTTGGCAGCCTTAACAGAATTGATTTTCCTAGCATTTGATATTTTGAAAGACTTCATTCTTTCTTAGAAATTTGAAACAATTATAATAAATTTGGCTAATTTTATGTTAATTTGTCTGATACAGTGCCTTGAACTGTGTGACAGTAACATTCTTGTAATTTTTAAGCGACAGCATTAAATGGTGATGGGATTTGTTTAAAAGATTATTAAGGCTGTTATTTTGAAACTAATTAAGCAGATGAAGTAACTCACCTCAGTTATACACAACTTAAAATATAACTGAATCATGTACTAGATGAGGAATTGTATTCTACTAATATGAGTTATTACTCAAACAGAATTTCTGTAGCTAACAAAATTGTCATTATTTTCTTGCTGGGAATAGCTGGATAATGCTATAGATGAGTAGACAGCCATTGTTTATTCCAAACTGTAACCGGGTCATTTTAATACTGACTGCTAAGCAAATAAATCAGTTGGGCAACTTTTCAGCCAATCACAGTCTTTCAACACAACCTATTATGTATACCGCTTTGAGTTGTACAAATAAATAGAGATCATAAATCTTAAAAAAATTTAAAGAAGGAAAAATGTGTGTGGTCTATCTCCTATATGTGCCAATTTGGAAAGACAAGTACTGTGCTTTTACAATTTTGAATATACAGAAGATGTAGCCATTTCCATGTACGCACAATGTATATTGAAAATAAACATACATACAAACAAACAGCCTACGGGGCAACGTTATACTGTTATCTGTGAATCTTAGTCTTACACTATCAACTTACATATATTTGATTTTGGGATGTAAATGTTAATTTATTTCATGAGGGCAACTTCAGATGATAGAACTAATATGTGGTGCAAGCTGGTTTAGTTTATCACTTTTCTGATGTACATTATGTAGTGCATCTGAAATAGTTCATTTAAAAAGCCTTTTAGTAAAATGTATTAGGAATATGATTGTCTTCTGTACACATAGGAGACATGTGAAAAATCTGTTTTTAAATATTTAAATCATAACTTGATCAGTTTGGGATGCAGTATTTGAAACTGGCAATATGCAAAATTGTTTATATTTATTTAAGCCAAAAGGATCTTCAACTAAATGATTGGCAGCCTGAGCATAATTGATCTTCCATGGCATTTGATACTGCTGCTGAATTAAGAGTGTTGAATTGTCAAAAAAGCTGGTGGCTGCTTGTGGTTTTCTCTGAAAAGTAGAGTTCTTGCATGTTTTTCTCTTGGTGAATAAATGGGACAATCAATCTTGGGGGCACTACTATCAGTAACTGAGTAAAGCTCTTACCAAGTGAAAGATCAGCGTAAGTTTGAAAAATAGTGGTTTTTTTCCCTAATGAAATCATAATACTCTTTTTTAAGATTTTCCACTCAATTGGTTGGCTATTTCCAAATATCAAAGTGTTTTGTTTGTTTTCCAGGTTTTTGAGCATGAAGAAGAGAACAGATGAGGCAGAGCTGAATGGAGCAGGATGTATCACCTCCCAAATCCTAGAAATCTTAGTTCATAAATACACATACCAGTGGTTGTGGGCAACCATCTGCTTGATGTAAAGAACTTGCTTTCGGTATAAACTGGCTCTGGGCAGCACCATTGATGCTGCATCTCTGAGTTGTAGCAGCTGTAATTGTGAATATTACTGAGATAGTTGAACATGGTGTCCAGTTTTCTATTGCATTTTTTCAAGTGGAAAAATTAACCGAGTGGTTGACACACAAGTGGTGGAGAGAATTGTGCATATGCCAATTTTTGTAACCTTTTTACTTTGAACTACACTGCTTATGAGATCTCATTATTTTGGAAGAATGGCATGAACAAGTCTTCAGAACAGTTGCGATAATTGTAAATGCTCACAATTGTGCACTCCTTCTGGGTATTCCTCCCTGGTTCTGAAAGTTGTACACTTAAAACATTCTTAAAATTGCTGGTAACTTGAGTGATGTAACAAGCCAGCTATTGTGGTAGTAACCAAAGATTCCAGTTTTAAGCATATGAAAGACTCTGCCTGCTTTTACCTGTGCATAGAAATAACAGCATCTAAAGTGAAGACTTAAGAGAAATTTAGCGACTACTAGATTATCTTTAGGACTTTGCATTAACTCTATAATGTTATTGGTATACAAGGAGAAACAGCATATTTGTCACAAATTTAGTTAACATCTTCCAACTGAAACTGTATGTAAAAGTTGCTTAGATAAATGTAATCACTGTAAACATCTAGATGATCTGGGGTTTTTTTATTTTGAAATGGGAACATTTTTGTTTACAAGTTAATTAAAAACTAAACTGTTCCTGTAAGGATTTTTTTTAATTTGCCTTGATAATTTGCAAACTAAATTAGACACCACCTTTTTTTAAAAAAAATCGCAGTTACAATACCATTTGTTAAAGCAACAGTCCTGTTTCTTAATCATTTTAGATCTAGTGTTGTAACTCTTCCTCACTTTTGTTTTTAAATAAATTTTGTATTTGTTTTCCTGAAGGGGAGGGGCACTCTTGCATTTTTATAATCTGTTGCATTGATACCCAGTCTGCTGTAACGAGATCAGATGAAAATAAAGGAATCTTTTCAGACCCATTGCAACAGCTTACAAATCCTGCCATAACTTTGCATTGGCTAGACTGTTTATTTTTGCAGATTTAAAATGGAAGTGTATGAAGGGTATTAAAAAGGAAGGATTTTCTTTCGAGTTCCTGTGACACAAATATGACAAGTTTGCTCTTGGTCTCAGGCGGCCTCACATTGGTTACTGGTTACTGCCTTAGGCTATCTTTTCACTCCAATCCAGCTGAAAAATATTCTTACTGCTGGTGATTCATATAACAGTGTAACTTATTCCTTTATAGCATGTCAGAATAAATTTTAAAAGTTGTCTGAAAATGCTGCCAGATGCCTATTGTGTACATGGTTTTTTATGACTTGCAGACCTCTTCTGTGTTTATCAGGTTATGTCCCAGTTCATATTTTAATGAGACATTGAAGCTCCCTTAAACAACTCATTTTCCACAAAGTGAATACTTATATTTTATAATATTGTCATTCGAGCATGGATACTTGAAGGACATTAAGATATAGAATGTGCAAATAAGGACTATTTGGATATGCTTTGTGCAGTTATGCTCAGGTATTTTTTCTTTCTTGGAAACAAACTATACTGGGTCTTAGAAATTTCCCAAAACTCATTCAGGTTTTATAATTCTTATGAATGTAAGTTTCATTTTCTTTAACAACTGAAACTGTACAAATGATGGTGAAGGATGGAAATAATAAGTTGCTTATATATGTATTTAAGTCCTACTAATGGAAGATGAGGCATATGTAAATATATCCAGCTATGTAAAAGCAGAACTTCACATTTTTATAGTAGCTAAGTTCCTTTCAGGGAGAATATACTTAGGTTATTAAGATGCTGTATAAACATTTCATTGTCAATACAGTATGAAACAGCAAATAGCAAAATGCACACATAACTAAACAAAATGCTACCTACTTGTGGATTTTGCACTGATGAATTCCTAACTTGAAAATGATCAGATGGATTAATAGTTTGATATTATTAAGGAACTTTTAAATTATATTGACCAAAACAATAGTTAACAAGAGAATGATGAGGGGGGAAAACAATATCTGCTGATTTTCTGGCAGGCTATTTCTTAGTCATTCCTTCTCAATATCAGGAATAATAAGGTCTAGTCTTATAATAATAGTTAGTTAAAGATTAATATTTGAAAGGGATGGTTGATTTAATTGACTTAATGTTGCTTTGCTTTTTTTCCTTTTACTGAATATACTAAACAGTTAAATATGCTAATAAAACTTGATTCAGAGACCTAATGCTGGTTCTCTAATTGCTATCAAGTTGTCTTTAATCATGACCAGTAAGTACTGAATGTAATCATGACCAGTAAGTACTGAATGTAAAGATTAACATTCAAAATACTGGTTGGGTTTTAGTTACAGGTTGCATACTAGAAATCGGCCGAGTAGATTTTTCATGCAGCAGAGTTTCCCTTTGCTCTCCCCTGCATCTTATGGGATCTCCCGGTCTCCAGAAAAATGTATCGGTATTCGAGATTGAATTTAGAGGGGTATGTTTGGTCGATGCAAGATTAACTCATATTTCTTACATCAAGAACTTGTACTTGAAATCCAATCAGTTGGATTAGGCCTTGGGCCATAGAACATAGTGAAGAATAATCATAGGACTAGGAAAATAAAATCTTCGTGAGAATAAAACAAAATTTTACCCAATATTGGATATAAATCCTGGATTAAAGTATCAGATAAGTGAAGTGTCCAGGCTCAAGAGTCTCAAAACACAAGAGATTGTGCAGCACATACTTGTCAAGAGAAAAATATATACAAAATAAAAGCCTATCAACAGAAAAAATATTTTTCTTTTCTTTTGTATACTAACTCCCTTAATTAGCTATCCGTCGATCAACTTGTTTCATGTTTTTGGAGGACATTTATTATAAAATTTATTGGCCGTCAATGTTACCACAGGGCAATTTTGGGCGGCTAAAAATTTGTCTTCCAGAGTTATGTTTATAAAGATATAACCTCTTTACAAAGCAAAATTTGGCTTGAGTGTAACATATGTGCAAAATAGTTAATGGTCTTGAGAATTGTTGAAAGTAGGAAAGTAAAACTATTAGCATTCATTCAGGCTTTTTAAAAATGTAGAAATGATTTACTTTCTACCTGAAAGAAGTATTACACGCAACCCATTCTACAATTGCTTTTGCTGAGATTGGAAAGTTTTAAATAAAAACTTCACATCCCAGATTCACTACTGTTACTGTATTACTACTCCTTATTTACTAATGTATCATTCTAGTAAACATGTTAAGAATGTTTAACGGTTAACAGACTGTAGCAAAGCTACATTTGACCAGTGTCAAAATGCTGGACTCTGCTTTGCCAGTGGTGCTTGAAATTTCAGCATGCACTGCTGAGGAAAATGATTCTTGAAAAGGTAAGTAGCAATGCCATAGCAAGACCTCAATTGCAGAACAGCTGCAAAAATTACTTCGGAAGGATCTGTTTATAACTTCAACCCTAATATAATTCCTCTCTAGAAATAATTTTTCATTCTTAAAGAGAGTATACTATTGTATGGGTTTAGATTATGTTTGTTCAGGTACACTGAACTAGTGAGCTTTCTATCATTTCTGAAGAAAACTGATTTAAAAGCAAGCATATGATAATCAATGTATAATATCCTAAGTAAAAAGAATGTAGAAATCATAGGCTTCAGTAAAGTGTTATTGATCAGTTCACTATCCTAGTGTGTTTAATTTGTAAATTTGCCTGCTCTGGGGCTGCACAATGCTATTGCAAATTTATTTGAAGTATGTTTTATGTGATCCTGTTAAGGATTAGAGATAGAGAAGCAGTACACCTAAAAGTAAGTTAATTTCTAACAAAATAATAATATAATTCTTGATTATCAGTCATCGCAGAGAGACTTAAAGTAAGTATATTTAGACAAAGTGTGTTTGTGCAAACTATGTATTATACTATTCGGAAAAGTATCATACTTCTATGTTCACTAAAATCAGGGTGATGAAAGATTACCTATAAAATTTTGCAGGATTGTAAAAGGCTTTAACAAAAAGGTGGCATCTCTAGATGTTCTTTGAAGAACCTGTACTGCTATGTTCCATTTGTTTTACCAGTTTGTACAGATAATTATAGAACCTAATGGTTTATTCTACTGATTTCAAAAAACAAGGAACATCTTATTAAAACTATTACTTTAAGTCTACATCAAACATATTTTATGCAAAAATTGATAAGACTTCCTTGTTCCTAGTTATCTGAAATAGCTACTTTTAAAATAATTGGTTATTTTAATTCTAGCTAACTTGCATTCCAGCGTCACTGGCATTTTCAAATCTGGGGCAAGTAATGCTGGTGGATTTTAGAAAGATAAAGTTGGAATCATTTCTTAAAAATGCATTGACTACAATTATGCGTTCTTCATTTTACATTAATAGAAATCTGATTTGCAGTGGAAGCCTGGAAACATACATTCACTTGTTTAGGTTTGTTGTTGGTATAGGAAAGCCTGTCAATACTCTTTCTTGGGTTACAATATCCACCCAAATGTATTAGATACACACACACACCATATTCCATTGGATGGTATTTGTATTTTCTCTGGAAGGTTGTGAATCTCTGAAACAGATTTGGAGAGAGAGAAAAGCCCTGGAACTCGAGGCTTTCACTCCTTCCATGTATATATTGTATTTGGGTGCAATTGACAGAAATAAATTCAGTCTTGAGTGGTAGTGCATGTTGGATGCAGGGATGGCATTAGGTTAATAGAATGCAAGCAGTCTCCTAGTTAAGAACTAGTTCCTTTCCTAATTATATATTTAACTCAAATTTGCATTTAAGTTGGAACTCACAGTTTACAAACAGACTGCCTATTACTAAAAATGGCCAATAGTGTTCTTGAGCTGACTTGATGCTGAAGCCACAGTACTTTCAGAAACCACTGAAAGCCATCTGTACAATTAAAAACGTCGTTTCAGCATTTCCTGAAAGGACTACACAGCTTCAGTGGTTTGTTAGCAACAAGAACTCCCATCTGCCACTTATAGGCAGCCCAATTGTATTTAGACGTTGTCCTTAAATTGGATATTCTTAACCTGGGAACTTCTGTATGCTGAAGTCTAGTCTCCAAAGCAGCTGCTGCTAATGGCTATTCTGCATCTTATGAAATAAACATAGATTCCTGTATTTTAGAAGGTAGAGTCAAGATACGGTGTATGGGTATGTTCTCTAACAATGAAACACCTTTTATATAGGAAGAAGACGCTAAGAAGTCGGGCTATTAGGCCCATTAGCAAAATATTTGTGTTGACAGTGATTCTCTAGCCCTACTCAGAGATGCCATAGATAAATCCCTTCGAATTCAGAGCATGCTTTTTCACTGAGCTGTATCACTTTCTTGGGACTAACAGGTCCCAGATTGGATAAAACCAGTGGTGGGATTCAAATATGTGAACAACCGGTTCTCTGTGTGGATGCCGCTTCCAGAAGTCCATTCTGGGCCTGGGCAACAAAAAATTAGCTACCGGTTCTGCCGAACTGATGCAAACTGGCTGAATCCCACCACTGGATAAAGCCCTTTTCTAATTTATTAACTCTTCACAGGGTTGTTTTTATGACATGAAGATTTATGTGCCAATTCACTTTTAACATAACCATCCTTAGAGAACTTTTTCCTTCAAATTTCAAAAAAGGCCTTTACAAGTTCTAAAGTGCTTCTCTGGATGATTATCCAACAATTTTACATTGATAAGTGATTCCAAGATTAAAGCACCATACAAACAGCTAAATGAATAAAAACAAAACAAAGCATCCTCAGACTGAGTTTGTTCATACAATTACCAGGAGTTGAGCACTTTACTAATAATGATAACTAGGCAGGAAACTGCCTCCTTCCAGGAAAGGCATTTGGCAGAGCAATTGAGATCAGGCACTGCTTTTAAAATGCAGAGAAAGTTTTGGCTAAATCTGTTCCAGCTGATTTAGGACTTTCCAAATGAATCTACATAGGTGGAGGTGAGATACAATGCTGCAAGGCT